CCGCGTCCCCCGCCGATCTCGGCGCGCCCCCACCCCACCCCACCCTCCATCCCGCCCCATTCCCGGCGGGCCTTACCCAGGTCGACCCCTTTCTGGAGGGTCTTGAGCGCTCCGCGGTAGTCCCGCTCCCTCAGCAGGTCCCCCACGTCGATCTTCAGCCGGGCCAGCTTGGTCTCCTTCGGCAAGCACTTCTCCAACAAGTTGCACAGCAGGACGTTGCCCGCCACCGTCCGGGAGCCCAGCAGGGCCAGCTTCTCGCCGCACAGGCGGCACTTGGCCGGCAGGGCTTCGCCCAAGCATCGCCGGCAGAAAGAATGGCCGCACGACACGGTCACCGGGTCCCACAGCACCAAGCGGCAAGCCGGGCAGAGGAAAACCTCCATGGCTTCGGCTGCTGCCGCCGGCAAGGAGGCGGCGGGGGGGGTGGAGAGGGAGAGAGAGAGAGAGAAAGAGAGGCCGAAGCAGGCAGGCAGGAGAAGGTGGCTAAGGCGAGCCTCCCGGGGCAACGGGCAAAGGGCAAACTGGCCCGAAAGGGGACCGCATCGAGGAGGTCCCGGGAGCAGCCAAGGCAGCGCCTCCGGGCGGCTCTCTCTCTCCCTCTCTCTCCCTCTCTCTCTCCTCCTTGCAGGGCTCCGGGGAAGACTTTATAAGCGGCCGAGGGGAACCCACCTTCTTGTGGTGCTTTCGACGAGACCGGGAGCCCGACCGGCTCGTTCGCTCTTAAAGGCGCAGGCTCCCACTGGCCGGCAACTTTTCAGGGGTTGCTTTTAAAAAAATAAATAAATCCCCTCTTCCCCTTTGCCTTCCAACAGAGCTGGATCCCAAGCTGTGACTGTGATCACTTTCATTTACTTCACCAACAACGATCAGTTCCGCTCGCTTGCTACCTACCATCAATATTATTTAATTCGTCACCCGGGACCCTTTTGTTCTAAAACCCATCCGGACGTTTAACTTATTAAAACACGCGCGCGCGCAAGAATTAGAATTGGCCCTGGTATCCCTACCAGGGTCTCCTAAACTTAAAAACGTGGGAGCTCGTTTCACTCTTGTTTTGTAGCTTCTGTGCGGAAACTTGGGCGAACGGATTACTTTTTTTTGGAGAGATCAGTTCCTGGAGCGGTGGCTCTGTTGGAGGGTTCGCTTAAATCCTCTCTCTCTGTTTGTTTGTCTCCTTCTCTCTCTCTCTCTCTGGTTTCCCTGCCCCTTCTTGTCTCGCCTGTTTCCGGGATCACCTCACCAGGACCCGCAATCGGTCCGTTCCCAAAGGCTTGGAGGAAGAGGCAAGGATGGACGGGAAGCCCCTGGGGTTCCTTCCCCGCTTCTAGGTTAGGTCCCTTCGCACCAGTTGCCTCTCTTTCTGTCGGGGAAACTTTGGGGGGCCGCGGAAGGCAGGCAGGCAGTTTTTTCCCCCCGGTTACCAAGCGGGAGGGAGGGCTGGAAGGGAAGAAAGATGAAGGTGACGGTCCGGCAGCGTGGGAAAAGGAGGCAGAGAAACCCCCTAAGCCAGAACTGGGCGGCGCCGGAGGATGACATTCTCTCCGGACAGCTTTCCGCCCACCGACCCCCTTCTGTTTCACCTTCGATCATATATAAACAGTGGATAAGTACTAGGTTTTGTAAGGGGGGGGGGAGAGAGAGAGAGCGCAGCGCTCCGAATATTACATAAAATTCGGAGTGGGGCCCATGTGACGGAGCCGGAGCGTGGCTTCATTGGTTGCCGCCGTAGGCCCGCCTCTGTTGTGAAACCCACGTTGCGGAGCGCGTTTCATAACCTCCGGAACCTGGAGTTGGGCGTTTGTTGTGAAGGGGGTTGAGTCTGGGGTGGCGCCGGTGCTGCGAGAGGGAAAACAAGGGAGGACGGAGGGAATGGACTCTCGGGTGCGCCTGGAGTCGTCTTCCCCCCCCCCGTCCCCCGTCCCCCGAGAGGTCTCGGGCGAAGGCGGCTCCCCTGCTAGCAGGGAGAAGCTCGTGGGCTGCCGAGTCCGCTCCGAGAATGTCCTTTTATTGCCCTCGGCCTCCGCTTCTCGCCCTAGTTTCCTGAGCCCGCAACTCCCCGTAGCTTGGCGTTGCGGGGTGGTATTGTGGTTGGGTAAGAATCACGCGCGCCTCCGGATTCGTTTGTCCACAGAGTACAGGATGTGCCAGATGTCAAAGAGTTGCAGATTAAAAAAACCAAAACAACAACAGTCAATGGCTCCATCCTGTGCAGGTTTGCCCAGAAAGGTCTCCTGGCTTTTGTGTGCATCTCCACAAACTGTGCGTGGGCCGGGTAAGGTGCTCTTACGCAACCATGTTGGACAGCCTCGGAGGACTCAGGGAGAAGGTGCTGGGCAGGTGCAGTGGAGGGTAATCCTGCCTAGGTTGAACCCTGCTTCCAAGTCTTGCAATTTACCATTTTAATGTTGAGATGGGCTTCAAAACTGCTCGAAATTGTAGAGGGTTTTTTGTTTTGTTTTGATTTTTGCATACCACTCCCAGAATCCTTCAGGCTATGATAGTTATTGGCCATTCTAGCTAGAGATACTGGGAGTTTTAGTCAAAACATTTACAGGCTCTGGAGCTACAACTATGGTGTGGTCATCATACTGATTGGCACATTTAGAGAGTTGCAGTCCCAAAAAAGCAGATTGACCAAGTTCTGTTCTCAAAGCTATTTGTGATAAGATGGGGTGAGATGCCATGTTTAAAAAGTGGGACAGTTATGGAAACATAGACTCTTTGTGTATGTGTTGTCAGAACTGTGTCAAAAATGTAAGCAACAGCTTCCATTTCTAATTCTGAAACCATATATAACAAAAGAGCTTAAGAAATCACTTGCTGGTGAGAAAACATAAAAGCAGGAAGGATGCATTTCTCTGCTTGTATGGCTTGGTCCTCTCAGTGTCTCTTTTCAGTGACAAAATGGGGATGGGGAGAGCAGGACAGAAGCCTTACAACATTTACACTACACCGTTAAACTTGTGATGGTTCCGTACATACTGCTTAGAAATTTGTGGAGAGGTCTGGGCATCAATAAATCAGCTTCCACAAAGAGACTCTCACTGACTAGTAAAGAACATCAAGCACTCAGTCACGTATTTGGTAAGGGGTTGTAGCCAGGATAGCCACCAGAGATTGCCAGGCTTCCTTGAACAGTAGCCAGTACTGTATCCTGCTGCAAAGTACTGTTTGCACAATGAACCGACTGCTGCTTCAGTTTCAAGTGAGCACAACTTCATCTCACTGCATGTGCCCTGAAGTCGAAGGAGAAACTCTTTAATTAGTGGCCTGTTGTTGGTGACATCATTCCTGTTGCCCAAGTAGAGCTATGCAACAAGATTTTGGTCCCTGTTTTAGTCTGTCATGACAAGTGGGAAAGGGTGGACTAGTTACATATGGCAGTCTTGCAGGGGCAGGGGGGAGGGGAGCATGTCATACTCATTCATTGTTATGCTTAGGCCTGGTTTACATAGTGAGGCAAAAGCTTCCTAAGCAATTCTTTCCTAGAAAAAGATAACCAAGTTGTGTTTTTTTTTCAAAACAGTCTTCTGTTTAGAAATCAAGGTTTATCTTTTCTGCACCATTGAATGTAATGTTTGCTTCCAAGAGCTCAGCAGTGTGCTTTCATGCAAATGAATTGTTTATTATAAAGAATACCAAAGATCTTCCCTTTTAGAAGCTGAAGTACTACACAGCCTTTTTAGGTCACAAAGGAATTGTCAACTAGGATTTCAAAGACTACCACTCAAATGGTTGGTTGCTGTGGCAACAAACATTTACACAATATATCTTCATACAGCTCAGAGGATTAAAGCATTTAAAAAACATGAAAGGCCACTAATGGGCTATTATATCTTTCTCCAGGTATTACACTGACTGTCAGATCCTAGGGTGTTAATTGGTTGGATTTGTTTGTTTTGTAAAGTATTATTTTTGCAAAACTCCAGTTATGGAATCCACCTGTAAGAAAGATTGACACCTGCCGGTTTTCTAAAAGATACTGTAGAAGTCCTTCTTAATTTGTCACTTGTCATTTTTATGTTAATCTTATGGTATTGAAGATCTGTTTTGGTTTTGAGTTTTTTGAGTCTGTCATTTTGACTTGGGCTCAAATTAGATTATACAGGTAGCATGTAATTTAGCTAAACAACTTGAAGTAATGAAACATGTCAGATTGTCCTAGGATGAGCTTGCCTCAGCCTCCATTTTGCAAATTAGCTTCCTTTCATTTTGTGCCTAGTAATAGGGAGATAAACATGGACTTCATTTACAAGTCTGATTATGCTTGAAATAATTTTGTGCCTGCAGGGAAAACATAATAGCAGGAAATAAGGTTTTCCTTTAACATATGATTTGCATATCATATTACACTCCTACTGGGCATAATAATATATTGAAGAAATGAATAAGCAAGAATATTACTGCTTGTGAGCTTGCCTCAGCCTCCATTTTGCAAATTAGCTTCCTTTCATTTTGTGCCTAGTAATAGGGAGATAAACATGGACTTCATTTACAAGTCTGATTATGCTTGAAATAATTTTGTGCCTGCAGGGAAAACATAATAGCAGGAAATAAGGTTTTCCTTTAACATATGATTTGCATATCATATTACACTCCTACTGGGCATAATAATATATTGAAGAAATGAATAAGCAAGAATATTACTGCTTGCATTTTGTGTTTGTCAACATCAACAAAAGAGTTCATAAACAGTCTTAATTTCCCAAAGTGTTACAAAGGGGCTTTCACATATTAATGGCGAAAACATTCAAAAAATTGGTTGCTTCCCTTTTAATAATAGAGCAGTCAAGAGTTATGGTATAGCTGCAATAGTTACAGTAACTGATTATTTTCAAGCATATCAGCAAGGCTAGGAACATGCAGTTATCTCTGATAATGTAGGTCCCCTATACAGTGCTTCCCAATCTTGAATCGCGTTATCTCTGATAATGTAGGTCCCCTATACTGTACAGTGCTTCCCAATCTTGAATCGCCATGTGTTCTTGGACTAAAACTTCTAGAAGCCTTCCACACTAGCTGTGCAGGCCAGGATTTCTGGGAATTGTTGCCCATGAACATATAGGGACCCAAGGTTGGGAACTACTGCCCTGTAGCAATTCTGTATTCAGCACATTCACCAATTGCTTTTGTCCAAATTTGAGCTTTGATTGATTGATTGATACAAAGGGCCATTACAGTTGATGAGAAATCATGGCTTTCCGAAATCTGAACAATCCTGCTTGAGTTAACAGGCTCTCATCCCCATTATACTACTTATTTGCATGCAAACAGAGGTTGGAATGCTCTTTTTCTTGTTTTAAATCAGGAAGGGCAGGATGGGAACTCTTCATACCTTGTTAAAGTGCCACTCCCATCATTTATCGCCATTAACTGTGCTGGATTGGAACAATTGTGTGTGTGTTGCAGACGAGTGACATCTGGAGAACTACAGATAA